AAGAACCAAAGACTTAAACTACTTCAGTCTGTGTGCATTGAATTTATTTAATACACGAGTTTCACAATTTGAGTTGAATTACTGAAATAAATGAACTTTTCCACGACATTCTAATTTATTGAGATGCACCTGTATGTACAAAGCTTTTAAGCATGTTGTTAGTGATTTTCAGTGCTATAGCCTTGGCGATGTTGAGGTTCACAAAGCAAGCAGCAATATATCTACACTAGCTACTAAATTTTTCTTGAAATGCTCAAACTTTGTCACAAATTATTATTATTATTATTATATACATAATTTTTTTTTTTTTTTTCTTTTTCTTTTTTTCTTAACAACAGCTACGACGCAAAGAATGAACCTCATTTTAAATAACACTGAACAAATCAATTGTGGGAAAATTACAAATTAATAGAAGTGACATTCGTTTTTTGTCATTTTAGGTATCTCACTGCTGATATGTTCTAATGACTCATATCTTAAACAGTGAATTAAAGAACAAATTACAAAATGCTTTAAACTGGTTTTACTACATCTTTGATTTTAGTCAGTCTCTTTTGTTTCAATGTGCGTGAGAAAGCTTTTAGCTGTATATCAGAAAATTTTGTCATTTGTGTGGGTGTTGTTGTTCTGCCTCTCTCACTCTTAAAATAGAATGTGGCTTCACCAAATACATGTTCACAGAATTACTGCAAGCTTAAATTTAATTACACATACATACACTGCCGTTCAAAAGTTTGGGATCAGTAAGACTTGCAATGTTTTTTTAAAGAAGTCTCTTCTGCTCATCAAGGCTGCATTTATTTGATCAAAAATACAGAAAAAAACAGTAATCTTGCAAAATGTTATTATAATATAAAATAATGGTTTCTATTTTAATATACTTTAAAATATAATTTATTTCTGTGATGCAAAGCTGAATTTCCATCAGCCATTACTCCAGTATAAAGTGTCACATTATCCTTCAGAAATCATTTTAATATGCTGATTTATTATTAGAATGATCAATGTTGGCAACAGTTGTGCTGGCAAATATTTTTTTGGAAACTCCGATATTTTTTCAGGACTCTGATGAATAAAAAGTTAAAAAGAACAGCATTTATTCAAAATATAAATCTTTTCTAACAATATAAATCTTTGCTATCACTTCTTAACAATTTAACACATCCTTGCTGAATAAAAGATTTAATTTCTTTCAAAAAAGAAAGAATAAAAATGTACTGACCCCAAACTTTTGAACTGTAGTGTATATTGTTAGAAAAGATTTCTATTTTAAATAAATGCTCTTCTTTTTATCAAAGAATCCTGAAAAAAAGTATCACAGGTTCCAAAAAAAAATATTAAGCTGCACAACAGTTTCCAGCACTGATAATAAATCAGCATATTAGAATGATTTCTGAAGCATCATGTGACACTTTATACTGGAGTAATGGCTGATGGAAATTCAGCTTTGTCATCACAGGAATAAATTACATTTTGAAATATATTAAAATAGAAAACAGTTATTTTACATTGCAATAATATTTCACAATATTGCTGTATTTTTAATCAAGTAAATGCAATCTTGGTGTCCATAATTATTCTAAACATTTGGCTAGTAGTGTATGATTCATTGTTTGTTTCTATTGATTCTATTGGTTATTGATTATTTTTTTAGATCAATTCTGATATATTTGCACTGGCATAGTGGGACTTTTTTAATATTAAAACTGTAAAACTCAAAATTTTACCCTATTTACTTAGTTTAGTGCACATTCCTGGTCTTATTATACACACTATTATTATTATTATTATGCTTATACAGAAAAAGTTAAATTTTTGAGTAACGTCACATTATTATGTTACAGTTGATTATTGAGCATGAGCATTAGTGACTGATTTTTACTGCTGTCTGCTTGCAGATATGTGGTGTGCAAGAGTTTAAAGCCAGGCACCGATGCTGTCAGAGAATACATGTTCATCATCAACCTGAAACTGAATCAATTCAGACACTCAGACAGAGACGTTACTGAAGTCGTCCCTCTGGACATCATTAAAGGAGACACTGACTTCTTCCAATTCATGATCAACTCCAATGAAAGGTACCGTCATCGCTTTATGACCCTTTTTTTGTCTTTCTCTCTGGCTCTCTCGATGCATTCATTCATGCTTAGGTTTATTTATTGAACTCTGATCCCTTGTCTTGCAGCCATTGTGCAGTACAAATCAAAGCGCTGGCTAAGATCCACGCGTACGTCAGAGATACGTGAGTCACACATTCTTCCTCTGGTGTGTTTCAGGGCATTCATCTCAAACTCTCTTTTATTTGTTTGTGTGCACATGTCTGAGTCTGTATAAGCATCACTGACAATGCTGTGTGTCTTTGTAGGACACTGTTTGAGCCCAGGCAAGCAGACATCCGCAAAGAATGTCTCAAACTGTGGGGGGTGAGTCCAAAAACAATAACCACAAGCTTCATAGTGGACTGGGGTTTAGTTTAGTGCTTTGTGGTGGTGTCTGAAAGATTTCAAAGAGCATTGTTTTGTGTAGGTATGTGTAAGGACAAACTGATACCGATTTGAATGATTGAGACCTTGAACGTCTTCATCTTTGTGCAGATTCCTGATAAAGCCAGAGTCACTCATCCAACATCAGATCCGAAAGCAAAGTTCTCTGAGCTCGTGAAGGTAATAGTGTGTGTGTGGGCTTTGAGAAGTTAGCTGGGAATGTGGTAATGCTCTTGTGGATGTGATGTTCTAGAATAGAAGAGCTAAGTGGGTGAATCACATGAAGTCTATAATGTCAGGGTCATAATAAAAAGGAAACAAAAAGAAATTATATTTTTTGTTAAAAGAAATTAACAAAAAAAAAATTAAAAACGTTTTTTGGATGTTTTCCAATGACATAATTGATATATTTTTTTAAATTGTACAGTTTAAGTTTACTGTGAAGAAAATGTACTGTACTAAATTTGTTTAATTTTATCTAAAATATTTTACAAAATATTTTAGAATCTAAAATTGCTGTAAAATCTAAAGACATCTAAGTGAGTTATGTTCCAAATTTGAAGTTGATATCACAAAAATGGAGGCTCTTGTGAGGTTTTTTGTATTTTCCTGTCACAAATTTATAGATTTCTGTCACAATATTACTTCTGTCAGTTGGAATCTTGAGACTCAGACCTTTCCAACGATATGTGTTCTGTCAAGATTAGAAAAAGTTTTGATTATAAAATACTGTAGTAAATTTTGTAATATGACACATGACACAGCCCGCAAAGGGGAGGGGCCCGCTAAATGGATTTTAAGTACCATTTCTATGGTAACACAATGTCCGATTTAAAAACAGCTTTCACAGGATGAATTTTGAGTGTTTAAGCTTTCAAGTGATATCTAATTTAGGATTATTACATAAAAATGTGATAAGGAAAAAAGGTAATAAAAAAGAGTGCCAAGAGTGGCAAGCTGACAATTAATTTACAGATTAAAATAAATAGTTTAAATTTTATATAAATGTATTTCTCTGCTTACTGTCTTTCTATCTCAGGGCTCAGATATGGACAGTTTTAGTTCCAGACCAACTGCACTGAACTCAGGAAATCTGGATAAACTACAGCACGTACTGGACTACAGGTGCATTGTGGGAGGAGGAGAACAGCTCTTTCTCTTGGGACTTGGGGTAAGGAATATGTCTATGAATGTGATATTTATGTAATTTAGGCTAAATTTATATTATGTTGTGGTCATATATATCCTTATATATTGCTTAAAGAGTGAAAAACCTGAACTGTTTGTGTATGCAGAGATCTCAGATCTACACGTGGGACGGCAAAGCACCGTTACGCTGGAAGAAGCTGGAGAACTTCAAACTGGAGTTGCCCAGAGACACACTATTGAGCGTAGAGATTGTCCAGGAGCTGAAGGGAGAGGTGAATAGAAAGAATTAGTACAACAGTAATTGAGAGTAGAGAGAACTGTGTTGAATGACAGCTTTACATTAATACTGTAAGGGGAAAGAGCTCTTGTGTTATTTCAGTAAAATAATGACATGCATGCTTGTAAGAAGTTTTTTTATTGAGTCTTTGCATCTGTGCTTGTAGGGAAAAGCCCAGAGAAGGATCAACGCTGTGCACGTTCTCGATGCTCTTGTTCTCAACGGCACTGATGTCAGAGATCAGCACTTCAACCAGAGGTCTTTTGCAAATTATTACATGTAGAAATCATTTTGATGTATTTTTCCTGTCTTACTCTAACTACAAAATCAAAAAAAGAGGAATTTTTAATTAAGAAGTTATTTTATTAAGCAGGTTTATAAAGTGCAATCCTTCCACTAAGATACAGTGTGTGCGAAAACATTGCTATAATACATTATTATTTAAAAGACTTTAAAAGGTCTCAAATTGGAGAAGAAAGTCTTAAATTCATAATGTCATGGAATTAAAATTTGCATGCACTGCAAATGTATGTTTTGTTTTCCAATACAAATATCTAAACATCATTAAATCAGCATTTACTTGAGATGCAGTTTGAAGATGTGATGCCCTGTTTTCTGAGAAGCATAACAAAATGAAGTGAGCTTATGCTTAAAATAAGAACACAAATCTGTCAATGGGGTATGAAAACTTGTTTTCCCTTTAAATTGATTTTGAAGTTGTGTATTGACAGATATTTGTTCTTGTTTTAATCATTAACTCACTTCATTTTGATAATTTTCTCAGAAAACAAGAATTTTTATCTAATGCTTTGCTTCTCAAGTAAATGTGTTTTGATTTAAGAATCTTTAGACATTTGCACTGGAAAACAAGGCAAAATTACTGATGAAAAACATATTTGTTTTTGCATTGTAATCAGAAGGTACAGTAAAATTTATTTCCATATTCTAGTGGTTGAGAGCGGAGGAACTAGGGAAACGTTGAAGTCTTGCTAATGCAAGACATTTACATTAGAAACCATATTGATGTATTGTGTTCCATTCAATAGATTCTTAAAATCTTTTTACTTAGTCTTACAAAGATCTTAAAAAGTCTTACGTTTACCTTTATAAAACCTGCAGAAATGCTGTTTAAAAAAACAACTTTCAATTAACGTCAGTATTTTTTGTATATAGTTATTATATTCTTATATTATTAGCGTTAAATTTCCCATTGGATATCTTGTCCTCCAGATATGATTGATATTTTGACCTCACAAATCAGCTTTAGTTGCTTTTGATTAGGGTTTATTATCATCTAAATGCAAACCAGAAATGTAAAAAAAAAAAAAAAAAATCTGGCTTTGCGGTTGTGCTAATTGCTATGTCAGTGACAGCCCGGGGGGCCAAGAAGTCCTATGAACACCGGAGGGTGCAGTATGTAAAATTAATGAAGATACTGTGTATTACTAGAGTCTAGACAGGATCTTTCATGTTTATGATGATACTGCAAGTCAGTATGCTTGCTGTTTCAGCCTCATTCATTCATTCTCTCTCTCTTTTATTTTTTAGTGTGAAGGAAGTCTATAGGTTAGAGGAGATGGAGAAGATCTTTGTGAGGTGCGTTCCACCATTAGATTATTATTATTATTTTAATTTTATATTGCTATTTTACTTAATATTATTTGTATTTTTTTTCCTCAGGTTGGAAATGAAGGTAACCAAGAGCTCGGGAGGGATGCCAAGACTGTCATACACGGGCAGAGATGACCGTCACTTCCTCCCCAGTGGCCTTTACATCATCAAAACAGTTAACGGTGAGAGAGAGGGAGGAAATAATAAGGATAATATTAGTGGAGTGCCTTGTTAAAGATGAATTTGTCAAATATTTGATCTCTTTTTGACAGACCCTTGGACAATGGCGTTCAGCAAAAGTTCTAAAAGAAAGTTTTTCTACAATAAGCAGACCAAAGAATCAACTTATGCACTGCCGCCTGGTTCTGTGGCACCTTTCCAGTAAGTACTATTAAAGTGCCAATATGAAGTAATCCTGCATGACTTGCACTGCACTGGCAACCAATTTTGGATTGAAGCCCTGAGCAGGAAAATTACATTACATAGCTTGAATTTTCAAGAAGATATTGAATACTGACCTCTATGCAGCATCTGACCTTCAAAGAAACAAGTATCTCTCTAAACCCCCAGCATCCTTTTTAATGTCTTTTTTAATCGTATTGCATTTTTCTCAAATACTGTTTGGTTATTGCTTTGTAGTCTCATTAAAGGAATGTTCTGGGTTTAAAACAAGTGGCATGCTGCGGCGTGCTTTCGATAACAATGGAAAATAGTTTTTGATTGTTCCTGTTTATAAATACAAACAGAAGTCATGTTTATAGTAATGTACTATGAATCAAGGCATTCCAAAACATAAATGTGCAACTATTGTTTAAACATTTAAAATAATTCTTTCACAAAAATGTGTTATGTGAGCTTAAAATTTATCTGAATTGTCCTTTTAGCAAATAATTAAATGTGTAATTGAATACATAGATTACTGTTCAAAAGTTTGGGATTGGTCATTTTTTCTAATGTTTTTGAAAGTCTCTTATGCTTGCCAGGGCTGCATTTATTTGATGAAAAAATACAGTACGAACGGTAATATTGTGAAATATTATTAGTTTAAAAGAACTGTTTTAATGTCATTTAAAATGTAGTTTATTCCTGTAATGGCAAAGCTGAATGTTCATTACTCCAGTCTTCAGTGTCACATGATCCTTCAGGAATCAGTGTTATATGCTGATTTGCTGCTTAAAATTAGTTCACCCAAAAATTTAAATTAGGCTGCGTTTTACTCACCCCCGAGGCATCCTAGGTGTATATGACTTTCTTCTTTCAGACGAATCCAGTTGGAGTTATATTAAAAATAGTCTTTGATCTTTCAAGCTGTTTAATGCCACTCAACGGGTGTTGAATTGCTTCTGTCCAAAAGAACTTAAATAAAAATCGCCCATCCATAAAAAAAAATGTCTCACACGGCTCCGGGGGGTGAACAAAGGCCTTCTGTAGCGAATCGATGCATTTTTGTAAGTAGTAATAAGATATTTTTCTTACAAAAACGCATTGATTCGCTACAGAAGGCCTTTGTTCCCCCCCCGGAGCCGAAGAAACATTTCTTCTTATTATAAATGTTGAAAACAGTTGTGCTGCTTTATATTTTTGTCTAAACATTTTTTTTCCAGGATTCTTTGATGAATAGAACTTTCAAAAGATGAGCTTTTATTTGAAATTTTGTATTTTGTAACAGTGTAAGTCTATACTGTCATTTTTGATCTTTTTAATGCACCCTTGCTAAAGGTGTTAATTTCTTAATTTAAAAAATCGTACTGACCCCAAACTTTTGAACTAAGTGTAATTTTGTGGATTCTCATTCATAAATCACATGTATGCTTTCTTATTTCATAACATTGTTTGTTTGTTTGTTTCTCTCTTTTCTTCTGTTTCTCAGTGCATGTCATCAAGACAGGCTGTTTTGGGCTTGGGAGGAAGGCGTCCGAGTTCACGACTCCCAGACGCGGGTCAACCCCGACAAACTGTCTAAAGATGACGTGCTTTCCTTCATCCATCAGCACTGTCAACAATGAAAACACATGTACACATTGCAATCACACTAAGGAACATAGCACAGACTGTACATCGTCCTCGCCACCAGGGGGCACTGTAGCTTTTACGAGAGTCCGCTGAGAAACATTCAAACTCTTCACACTTCAAGGCTTTCTCCAAAATAGCCCCTGTGAGTTAGAGGACAGGGTGTCTTGGTGCTCGGTGGTGTGTATCTGCGTGTCCGTTATCTTCAGAGGAGAAAGAAACTTAGATGACATTGCTTTTCCCTTGTCCACATGTTTTTCTCCTGAGCTTTAAAATCTGCTTCCTCACATTAATAATTCCCCCACTAATCGATTGGATGTGTAGCTGCAGATTCTATTCATCAGTGTAAACCAGAAGATAACCATGTAAAACAGCATAACAGTGTGCATTCGCTCTACTGTGTGCATGTGTTGCCTTGTTTTTCACATTTTTATTTAGTTTCTTTCAGTGTTTAAAAATCTTAGACTGGGTATTGCCATTTCTGGTGATTTTGGAAGAGGATTTTAATTTTAAACCTGTTCGTGATGTTGATTAGATTAAACCACTGAGGAAGTTTATTCCTTGAGTAATTGTGGTCTGCTTCATTATTCGTCTCTAATGAGTTTAAAGTCACAATGAAATAGAAGCAGCGACAGATGTTTTCTTATGTGTAATGGCTTACCGAAAAAGAAAAAATTAAGGGCGGTGGGACTAGACTCTATTCATCGGTTGTTGATTGGATTTTGAGATGTGGGTGTGACACTTAAAAGCTGTTTTTTTTTTTTTGCAACAAAAACTAGAAGACCAAGACGAACGTAACATTCGATTTTATGCTCCATTGTAGGAAAAGAAAACTGACTGAAGATTTGGAGCTGTGACCTCTGCTGATAACACACTCCATTTGTTTCTGCTTGCATTGAGAATCCACACAATCTGGAAGAACAGACTGTCTGAATGAAGTGTTTGAACAATGAAAACTTACAAACGCCAGAAGAGAACTAGATTTTTTTTGTTTAAAAGTTTTTTTCTTTACAGAAAATCTTTATGTTAAAGGAATAGTTGACACAAAAATAAAAATTTGCATAACATTTCCTTACCCTCAGGCTAAACACTAAATCACTTGCTCACCAATGGATCTTCTGCAGTGAATGGGTGCCGTCAGAATGAGAGTCCAAACAGCTGAAAAAAAAAACATCACAGTAATCCACTCCAGTCCATCAGTTAACGTATTGTAAAGCAAAAAGCTGTGTGTTTGTAAGAAACAAAGAAGAAAGTCATCTCGTTTGAATCAGGAGAGAAATACGCACAGATCGAGTACGATTTACAAGAAAAAACAGTTCTAAATAAAATACATTTCTCCAAATTCGTTCTGATGAAGAAACAAACTCCTCTACATCTTGGACGGCCTGAGGGTGAGTACATTTTCAGCAAATTTTCATTTTTGGATAAACTGTTCCTTTAATGTTTATATTATCGTAATATCTTCATGATTTATAGTCATATTTGGCAGATAATAAGGTAATATAATTTACATTTTGTGATGATGCATGCAATCAGACAGTTGAGATTTGCGATATAGTGTATATTGTGTTATGTGAGTGTATGTATGCAGGTTAAATTGGACATACTAACAACTTTAAATAAAGAGCCGTGCGATAATATAGTTGCATTTTGTGACTAAATAACCAGGCAGTTGAGAAAGTGGGTATTTGCTCCTGCAGAAGTCACCTCCAGAATGGCATGGCTACATGGTTGCTAAGGTGTACTAATGGATTTTAATGTATTGCTTTGTGGTTGGTATGGTGTTTGGCTGGTTGCTTGCTGATATTCTGGTCCCTTCTTTAATACAAGTCCATGGGAATTTTTACTCCTGGTTTATCGGCCACTGGTCTGTGCTTTTCATGTCAAATTTTAATACTTTAGGCAGGAGTTTCTTCACAACCTGAACCCCAGGTTTCAGGATTGAGGATCGGGATACTGCCTTCACAGGAGGAGGGAAAAATAGAACATCCTTATGGCAGGTCCAATTTATTTTGTCATGTCTTATATTCAGTACGATTTTATATCTGTATTTTGCTCCTCTAGGACAACAATACATGAACTGTCACTGTGACTGACACATCACTAATGAGCATATTGTGTACCTTGCTGTGTATTTTCATTTCTTCTCTGAAGCTGTAGGCTTCTGGCATCTCAAGGACGGCGGGACACAGGCGGTCTTTTGTATGCAGGTGTAATGAGAGTCTCCCACACCCCGTTTTCCTATCCATCTCTTGCTTTGAGTTTGTGACTGGAAAGCTAAGCAGAGATTCACCTCAAAGGACAATTACATTTCCCTGTAGATTGCTTCCGTTAGAGAGGTTCCTCTCATCCGAGGGCTCGCTTGCTCGCTGGCTGGGTAACCAAATGGGAACATATGCAAACTCTGTTTTTCTCCCCCCACCCCGTCCCCATTCACACACTCTCCCTTTCTTTTCTGGCCAAGAGGTTCAATGTGCCATCTCCCGAAAGCAATTGAGGAGCGCTGCAGCAATACTGCCCATCACTAGCCGTTAGGGAAAGCGTCCAGAAGATATAACAGTATTCTGTCTTCCCGCAGGGCACCAGAGTTTTATTAAAATTAAGGTTAAAAGTCTGGTCACTTTGAAGATGGCTGGAAACTCAAATCAAACTGACCTTGTAAGGGGTTTAGGCGGATCTGTTTGTCCAAGTTTGTCTACTTGCATTCATGACTTGCAGACTGTGTCTCAAAATCTAACGAGTTCCCTACCTAGACGGCATTTTTGGGCGTTGTAGGTGCATTTGACCCCTTATGGTCATACGTGATTTCTGGAAATAGATATCATGATTATGTTGATCTTTGAGTCATATTTTATTTTTGTTGTCTATTTGTGCTTAACTTTCATGTTGAATATAGCTGTAATTGTCTTATGCTGCATGTCAAGCCTTTGCTGCCTGAAGAAATGATTTGTAGCTACATGTTTTGAGTATTTAGCATTTTATGATTTGTTGCTTTTCATAAAACGTAAATTAAACAAACACTTATATAATCTAAAATCACAGTTTAATCTGTGAAATAAAGGGCAACCTTTTTTAATGCCTGGCTGACCTCTTCCCTCGAAGATGGCTGGAAACTCAAATCAAACTGACCAAAGGGGATTCAATTACAAAAAAAAAAGCTAGGTTTTATAAAAAAGTTTTTTATTTAAAAGTGCACTATATATATATATATATATATATAATTTATTTATTTTTTTGGAGACGTTCTTTAATAAAGACTTGAACAAAAATTAAAAAATGCAGCTAACTTGATTTGTAGCTACATGTTTTGAGTATTTAGCATTTTATGATTTGTTGCTTTTCATAAAACGTAAATTAAACAAACACTTATATAATCTAAAATCACAGTTTAATCTGTGAAATAAAGGGCAACCTTTTTTAATGCCTGGCTGACCTCTTCCCTCGCTGTGTCCCTCTGGACTGTTCTCGCCTTGTTGGACAGACCCCACTGGCAACAAACAACAGCACAGACTCTTTCATGAATAATGAATGTGTAGACTGCTGATGCTGTCTGTGTGTTTGCATAAAGCCTTCACTTCAGACACTGCTTGCCCAGATATCCAAGGGACGTTCTTTAATATTTCTGTAGTTGCTGTGACATAGTATCATAGTAATACCATTTTTTAAATGTTTTTATAAAATGTTTTTATTTTTTTTTAATTAATTTTTTTTAATGAAAATGCATGGACCACAGTTGGTTATTGTTAGTGTACCATTTTTGGGTAACGTGCATTTATACTTTTGAATCAAACATTTTGATAGTTCAAATGTTGGGTACATTTTTCCTTATAAAAAGTACTGTTAAGGTATCATGCTATGGTAATGATGATATATCAATAATATATCAAGCTACTTTGATGTACTGAAAGATTTAAATTAGTAATCATGCCATTCCATTGTTTGTTTGTTTATTTAATTTTACTTAAATAGTTTAGACTGTATTTTTGAGCAACTTAAGCACACATTCAACCATATTCTGCCCAAAATTGCTGTCTAGGTAGACAGATCACTAGATTTTGAGACTAAACCAAAGCCGTTTCTGATTTTTTGTCAAAACAATAAATTCATTGCTATAAAAAATGCCCGTCTCATAAATAAATAAAATGGTCCTTTGATATAGTGAATGATTACCATTTTAGTGTACAACGGTGTTATGGAATGTAGGCTATATTTATGGTGGCCTACTTTTTTGTTATCAGCATTTTTGAGGATCAGGTGCGTTCAGACGTTTAAATCGAACATTTGATGGCCAAAAATGCTATTTATTTTGGCAGCTCACTAGATTCTGAGACAAAACCAACGTCTAATTTAGGCTACCAGCAAAACAATAGTAACTAATTTATTAATTTAAAATACAATAGTGCTTTTGTATGAACGATTACCGTTTTCGTGCATTATGGTACTTTAAAAAATATTTGGTGCATTTTTGTTAATTTAGACAGCATTTTTGAACAACATAGATGCGCTTAGACGTGTACATCGAACATTTAATGCTGTTTATGCAGACAGCTCACTAGATTTTGAGACAGCCATAGCGCTTTCCGATTCATATCTCGTGTATTGACATGTGGTGCTGAGGAATACTTGAGTATTTTTGTTATTTATACTGCGCAACATCGACGTTTACCACAGCTCAACCGGATTTTAAAAGCCGTGGGCGTTTGGAAAACTGTATATTTGAAAAATCGTTTCCCCACATCAATAGATTAAACGTCCCCAAAGGTTTGATCCATATCTGACACCACATCTCATAAATATTGTATGGCTTCTGTAATATTAAAAATGGATGTTTTCAATTTAAGTTTTCAAAGCGGAGTCTTGAGTGTTCGCGCTGAGGGAGGGCGAGAGGAGGTCCAGTCAGACTCTACCTACCTGCAGATCAAACGCGCGCTCTCTCCTCAGGTGCGCGAGGGGATCAGACTCAAACGGACCGATGATGCTCGCTCTGTCCAAATTGTAAGGAAAGCCGCATCTCTGCGCCAGTTTGGTGGGCTACATTGCACGTGTGACGCCTGAGACGAGTGAGACCCAGATTTTGGAGTCATTTGAAGACTTAACTCAAACTCCCGAGGAGCTGCAATGGCATCGATCGGGGAGTTTGACCCGTTAAACAGCAGCGTACCTGCCACCAAAATAGAGATCACCGTCTCGTGCAGGTAAGAGCGAATATCGCTTATTATAATATTACTTATGTTCAAAATTCGGTACGTCTTAAAAGCATTGTGCCTTTTCTCTTTTCGTTTTTGCTGTGCATATTCTTTGTTCATTGGAAAAAAAAAAATTAACTATTAAAATATATTTGAATTTGGTCATTTTGAAGATGCCATTAAACCAAGCGTCTTAAAAAATATACAAACAGGTGATTGAGGAGTTCAGCAAAAAACAAAGTATTGGAAAAATGTTGGTATAGCCTGTGTATCTGTTGTGAGAAACGCATCACTCTTGCTTGAGGGGAATTCGAGTTCCGTATAAATACCATGGTACATGAATATGGTAATCTTTCAGCACCATGGTATATAGGGCAGC